AAAGAAGAGTGAAACCTTTCCATCGCCAAAATAAAAAAGCTCTTACAGTCATTGAAAATAGAATGGAATCAATTATCAAACGTATACTTTCAGAAAATTTGGCCAAAATTTTGTGCTACGGTAAAGAAGGCTAAATGAGGATAACAAGAAAAAGCCATAGTCGTACGTCCCACGTACATTACAGTTCAAAAGCTTGAACCGCAGCCCAGAATTAGCATGGGGTGAACTTGACAGAAAAATGAAAAAAAAGAAATGGAAAGAAGCTCTTCAAGGACATTTAAATAAGAATGGAATCAATTATCAAGTTTATACTTTGACAAATTTTTGCCAAAATTTTGTGCTGTGGTAATCAAGGCTAAAGGAGGACATTTTGATGAGAGGAAAATTTAATCGTAAAATGTTTTTTTTGCTTTTTTGTTATAGTAAAATTTATACTAAAAACCATGTCTTACTTTTTTAACCATATATATTAATTTTCTCTCATTTAAAATACAAAACAACTACTTTTTAGGCCAATTTAAAAAAATAACAGGGGTGTCCTCAAACTTTTTATATAACAAGTATCTAATCTCTCTGAGTATATATATATATATATATATATATCATACTTATTATAAAACCCAGGTTGTGTGTGTGTGTCTGTTCGTTTATATATTGGATCGGATTTCCTACATTTTACAACCGATTTCAACAAAACTTCACAGGACTACGTAAAATTACCTTGCGGTGGTTCTGACAGTGCCAAAAATAGGAAAAACACAATTGTTTTTGCACGAAATCAATTTGAAAACACGATTAAGAGGCATCGCTGTCAAGAATGAACGGGAGACAACTCATATCGGGTTATACTTATTATAAAACCCAGGTTGTGTGTGTGTGTGTGTGTGTGTTCATTTATTTATATACGGGATAGGATTTCCTACATTTTTCAACCGATTTCAACAAAACTTCACTTTTTTTGGCAGGTAGTGTTTCTTATTGTCTTGCACACTTTTTTTTCTTTATTTTTACATTCAGAATGCTTTAAAAATTCCATTTACAAGACAATTGTTTATAACAAAATTTTATTCAATTGATAGACTCATAACGATTGAAAACAATGTTTTTGTTTGAGTTTGGGTTTGACCAATTCGTAAAAAAAAAAAAAACAAAAAAAAAACAAAACAAAAAACTAATTAAGACATGCGTGTCCTTTAACCTTAAACAACAATCTTTGTCAATTTTATTTTTCAGTATTTATGATGGTCGATAATTGATCTATCTCTTACTGTTACATCCCCGGGCAATGCCGGGCTCTACTGCTAGTATATATATATATATATATTAGCAGTATAACCCGTCTTTGACCGCGTCTTTCATTTTGGGGAATTTTGCTGTTCATTTGGAGCAGTTTAAGCTTTAAGTCAGCCCACCTAAAAATCAATATTAGTAACAACATTTAGGTGCATATCCCCAAAAAGGGAACTGTATAATAATAAATAATATTATTGTAATAATTTAAACTATTTATTTTTATTAACTTTTTTTTATGAAAGATATATATCCAAGAACAGATAGTAAATAGTAAAATGTTGCTGAGAGTTATAATGGAGAGGAAGTAGTGGAGAGCCATTGTCGCCAACAATTTGGACTCAAAACTGACACTGAAGAATTATCTATCAAACAAAAAAATTTTAGCGAAATTGGATGAAAACTGTGGAACAACATAAACAACATCTGATCACACACACATACATACACACACCTTTTGAGAATTATATATATATATATATATATATATATATATATTACCCCACACATACATACAGGATTTAATTTTAATTATTATCTAGATCTATACATTATCTAATATCAATGTAATAGCAATTAACCTACAAAGTTAAATAATAAAACCTTTCTTAAGCCTGTCAAATTACGGTTGATAGCAATTAGCTCATTTAAATAAATAATGATGATAATTAACTTGGCTAAACGCCTTCTTCATATTCGATAATCTTCTAAGTACAGCCGAGAAGGAATATTATTATTATTATTATTATTATTATTATTATTATTATTATTATTTCCTTTCCTTTCCGGTGTATAAACATTTCTTTCCGGGTCGCTAGCAGAGACCTAAGGTAAAAAAAAGGCATCATGACATTTTCCACTGAGCATATTTCGAGGAAAAAAAAATTAAACCTAAGATCACACATATTTTACGTATATAAATCCCTTCTTAATGTGTGAGATGTACATAAGAGTACATTTTTGTATTTCTTTAAGGCATGACCTACCAGAGATTCCTTCAATGAATCTATCGGAACTTTTTCCATTCAATCTGAGGGCTTGATGTCCTCATGTGCCACAAATCTTGAGAATTCCACTTCAATATTCTGTATTTTGATAGATTTTTTTTTTTTTTTGAAGATTTTCAAATATACATTACAGTCTGAAGGTTTTTGCAGCTGCAGTAAGTGTATTACACTTACATCTCTTCAAGCTTTTGAAATTCCATTTTGAACTTGTTTCTTTATTACAACGTTTCGACCGTTGTAGGCTCCGGCCTTCTTTAGGTGACTGAAATGTCAAACTTAACCCTTTATTTCGCTCACTGGGGTAGACTGTTCTAGTTCCACGTGCCAAGTTTAATGGGTGTCAGTTATCAGTTATCTCCTGTTAATTTCCCTCTGAAAGTTCTCCACTGCCTTAACCGGGTATTGAACTCACACTCTTTGGGTCCTGTCACTGGATCTAACCAACGCCTTTATCCACTGAGGACATCTGTCTTTGAGGAGACATGGCACAGTAATAAATATAACACGTTGTAATAAATATGGCGACAACGATGAGGACAATAGTCGGAATAATGTAAATAATGACAACCTCATCTCAAATAGGACAATAGTGGGCTGAAACGTTGTAAATAATGCAACAAAGATGAGGACAATACCTCATCTCAGAAATATCATCTCAGATACTGATGATGGGCTGAAACTTTGTAATAAATATGGCGACAAAGATGAGGACAATAGTCCGAATAATGTAAATAATGTACATAATACCTCATCTCAGAAATATAGACAGATACTGATGGGCTGAAAAGTTGTGATAAATATGGCGACAAAGACGAGGACAATAGTCGGAATAATGTAAATAATGTACATAATACCTCATCTCAGAAATATAGACAGATATTGTTGTTTCTTCTTTCATGTTCTTTAAGACAGATCATCATTCAATCATCCGTAGCTTCCAGGTATCTTTGAAGGCTGATTGTTGTAGTTTTGTAAGACAGTTCTAGTTTCATTAAATCTCTACCTCCTTCGTATCTGGGTACATAAAGACGATCAACATCAGCCTTGGGATGATGCATACGATGACAAGTTTTCTCGATTTAGCTTCGCCTACTATCAACTATGGTCCAGTTAAGAATATTGAACCTATTCCCCCGCAGGCACAGCCAAGGTGTTTAAGCCTGATATTCTTTTATTTTAATCCAACTCGGTATTTAACATCAGATACATATGTCTGTAATATTTTTTTTTTACTTTCTCCTTCATTTCGCTATGCTGTATTAGATCTCCTTCGTTAATTCCTTAGTTCCTATAGGCTTCTTCCTGTTCCAGTCCCTTATCTTTGTGACAAAATCGAGATCTATTGTGTGTTTCTGTTATTCTCCCTTTCTTGAATTATACTTTTGCACATCTAATTCGAAATCCATTCCTATATCGTCACTGAATCATTTTACAATATTGAGAAGTGTTAACCATGTTTGCCGTAGTCTTTGAATATGGAATTCAGTGAAGTACGTAATGTGTTCAATATCAGAGGTTGACAGTGAAGATATTTTGGAGAAAGTAGCAGCTGTTAAGTAATTCTTGAAGTCTTCGATATCAGAGGTTGGCAGTGAAGATATTATGGGAAAAAAAAAACAAAATGGCTGCCTTTATACACGTCGGATTGAATATTTTGAGCTTTCTGATTGGTTAACCCTTCTATTGGTGAACTATAAAATGAGTCGGCTCATTTTGGCTAGCTCACTAGTACCAACGTACCCAAAAATTCTAACAAGGAGGCCCTTCAACTCCTTGTTGTCTTCGACAAAGAGTTTGAGATCATCCATGTAGAGTAGATGATTAAATAATTTCTTGTTTTCTTTGTATCTGTTATATACCGTACCTATGAATATTAATGGGTATGCCCCAGTCCTTCATAAACACGTTGGACACCATTGTAAGTGGAAGTAATATGCTGTCTAAGTAGTTCACCACAAGCAGTGGTTTACCTACATCACGCCGCTGGAGAGTATTATATTTTGTTGATTTTATAAAGATTACCATTTCATTTTCCAACCTCCGTTTTGGTTGATCCTCATTCAGTAAGCTTTCATAGGTTACAACATACATACATATACGAGATAGATAGATAGATATGATAGATAGATATGAATGAATAGATAGATAGATGAATTAGATGATAGATAGATAGATAGATAGATAATGAACAGACTTAGATAGATAGATAGATAGATAGATAGAGATAGATAATGAACAGATAGATAGATAGATAGATAGATAGATGAATGATGAATAGATAGATAATGAACAGACTTAGATAGATAGATAGATAGATGAGATGAGATGAATAGATAATGAACAGACTTAGATAGATAGATGATAGATAGATAATGAATAGATAATGAACAGACTTAGATAGATAGATAGATAGATAGATATGATAGATGATAGATAGATAGATAGATAGAGAATGATAGATGCCTTCAGTATATGGTGTGTATTTGCCACACCGTTTACTAATTATTCTATGTTATTAACACGTTTAGCACACCGATACCAATATTAGCATTAGCGTCGCCATTGCTACACTAACACTGAATGCGAATATGAAAAGACGAAATACGTGAGCGTAACCAATGAAACATTTAATGTGGCAAGCAGCCTTCGTAAATATACACACAAGATTTATACATGTCCCAAAACAAATAATTGTCCATATTGTCCCAAAGGAACGAGGAGGTTAAACAGGATTAGTACAAAGATATCACCTACCAACTTCATGGCCTTTGGTCGTCCCCAGATGAGTGAAAGAGTTCGTTGCGTTAGGCCGTACCCAGGTTGACCAGTTTCCACGTGTGTGGACGCTCTGGTGGTCAGGAAGGAAAAGAGGTCGTTCCTTCCAGAACGGAAGTGACGACAAAAAAAGGCAGAAGAGTTCTACTCACTAAAAGGGGCCACAACTCTCATGGGCTAATGCAAAGAGAAAACACTGTGGTCTCCCTACAGTGTTATATATCGTACCTATGAACACTGATGGGTATGTCGCAATCCTCATAAATACGTTGGACATTATTGTAAGTGGGCGGGCGATAATGTGCGAAGTAGTCCAGCACTGGGAGTGGTTTACCTACTTCACGCCGCTGGCGAGTATTGTGTTTTGTTGATGTTACAAAACTACAAGGTCTGGAAATTGTGGAGAGCCATGATCGCTAACTGAATGGACATGGAACATAGAAGCAGAAGAAAAACGAGCTTGATTAATTGGATAGCGGAACAAGGTTTAGGAGAGATAACAAAAAGACTAAATTTCTTAAGAGCTACAGAGGTGTGGAAACTGTGGAGAGCCATGATCGCTAACGTCCTGAAGGGACATGGAACATAGAAGCAGAAGAAAAATGAGCTTGAGTAAATGGATAGCGTAAAATGGTTTAGGAGAGATAAGAAAAAGACAAAATTTATTAAGAGCTACAGAGGTCTGGAAGCAAAGAACCGTAAGTTCTATGCTGTTTCTTTCCTCGCAATTCTCGCTTGTGGGACTCCATTCCGGCCCCATCCTTTCGAGACAACTTTAATCTTCAAAAATAAAAATGCAATTACTCATTTCTCTTCCCGCTCATTTATAATGTTTCTGTTCCGAATTTTTTTTCATACCCTGTAACGCCTTGAGTCTTAGTGGCTTTAATGCCTTGCTTGGGGTGATACTGATTTACGAGTGAGGCATTTAAGCGAGTAATAAATAAATAAACTATAATATTTCTTTCTTTTTCAGCTGAATATGTTTCACTCTTTTTGTATTGTTATCAATTATATAAATATTATTATGTAAAATTCTTTCACGTGTTGAAATTTATTTCATTTGAAAACATATTGAATTCTTTTTTCTTTGAAAGTCCACAACCTCATTCGGACGCGCAATCCCCTACAAAACCTATCACGATTGGTTAATAAACTTCCACCTAACGCTTGCATTATCTGTTTAGTCGTTTGAACCATTTTATCCTTATGCACTTCACCTGACGATTCTCAACTTAGGTTGGCGCGTATCAATTCTTTCAAATCAAACCAGCTTAATCGGCCAACAAGTTATGTTTTCCGCCTGAGGAATTTTTATGGGACCGTTGGACATCAAAGCAGAACAATATGGCGCCTGGCGTAGGCTGCAGGGAAGCGGAAGCGACCATGAAATGAGGCGAAGTTAAACGAGGAAAAGTAAGAATAACGAACAGGAAAGGATGTTTTTTTTTTTTTTAAACACTGAGTCAAAGGTTTTCGCATCGATGGACAAGAGTGGGGTGAGATAACAAATTACTCAATCCAGAAAAGGGGTTAAAATTTTACAATTAAATCGCTGGTCAATACGTAAAGGAAATGAAATAAATTAAGTATTTGCCAGTCGAATGATGGGGCATATTGATAAACGGGGCTCTATTTATGCAAAACAAAAATTACCTTTGACATAAAAACGTACGTAGAATTTTGTTTTTAACGGAAAGGACTGATTCATTTTGTCGTTTTTCTTCTGGCCGAGAGGATGATTCAAAGACTAAACATATTTTCATGCTTTGTTCTTTGGTTTGAGGAGTCTTTTTGCAAGTGAAATTTGCCTTAACATTGTATTGTTTTTTGTTTTGTTTTTTTTTTTAAGCATTACGCCCCGAGCAAGGCGTGAAGCCACTAGGATGCAGTGAGGGGGTTGCAGAAGATTTGGAACGAGAGCAGATAGGAGTGATAGAAGAAAGGATGAGGAGAAGGATAGTGGGTAGATCAAGGTAACTGGAGATGTCGATTGACATTACATTTGAATAGTTGGAGATTATAGCTCTCAGGGAAACAGTAATTGGGAAGGGGGTTCCACAGGCGAGAGATGCGAGGTATGAAGCTATTGGAGTAAAAGAGACGGCTACATTTAAAAGTTTCTACAGTGTAAGGGTGAAAGCGGGATGCCAGCCTCGTAGGGCGCTTGAATTCATGGAGTCTGGGAACCAGTGAAAGCAGCTCGACGGAGCAATTACCATGAAAGGATTTGTAGAAAAGACAGAGAGAGGCGACGGCGCGTCTGTGAGAGAGTGACTGTAGACGAGATGCCAATTATATTACATATCCGTCTCTGGATCTTGTCAAGAACTCCGAAGTAAACAGAAGGTGCCCCAGACCATATATGGCAGCAATACTCCATCTTTTCCAGAGATAGGTCATACTATTTAAACCATAGCTGGGAGGA